GACTCCCAGGGAGGGTTCATACTTCCAGCAGCTTGTGCAGTGGTGTTCTTGCCCGCTAGGCTCAGTAATTTGGTGGCAGTGTTGGCCTGTGGCGTGTAAATTCAGGCAGGCTAACAGTGACAGATTCAAATTTCTTCAAATTAGGCACAAATTAGATTAGCTCTGTCAATTCTCAGTGTGAGTGAAGCCCCTGAATTTCCCACCTGGTGGGAAGCTAAACTGGTGCAAATGAGCAAATGCTCTGCAATGCTCAGGCCACTCTCGAATTTGTCAGGTCTATGTAGCAGCCCTTTGGAAAGGGACTGTAATTCTCACCTAAGTGCACCTGGTGCACTCCAGACACAGTGGCTGCCATAAGCCCTATGGCTCATGCCAGATGGGAGGGAAGGAATGTTTTTGGTGTCCTGGATGGTGCTTTCAAGRGGTCTCTGCACTGGTTTGGGTGTCTCACTGGAGCACCTAGAGAAGTTAAGGCAATATCAGGTCTGCAGATGTTCAGCATGAGGTGGTCCTTGTCCAAAGTGTGTCAACAGGAGGGGAATTCAGGGGTGGAGGCATCATATTTGTACCCTCGCACCATCTTTGTGCAAGTTAGATCACAGATGATGCATTAAAGCAAAACTGAGGATAAAGAGTATGTTTTCTTCCCTCAGTTAAACCACCCTGCAAGTTCATGTGCCAAGGTCCTATCTAGTCCTCTCCTGGCTCACCTGCATGATTATATTTGACTTGCTTGATGATTTATTTGGCTAATACAAATTGGTGTGACTTTCATGAAGCCAGTTACTTCCAGCACTAAATCTGACTTTAAGTTTACCTRGGCTGCTACTCTGCTCTGACGACATCACCTCTAACCTAAGGACAGTCCACACTTGTGACCAGACTCTGTGTCTCCGTCTACACTGGAAAGTTTAAGAGTGCTGAGCATAAAGCTGCTGTGCTGGCTAAATTGGAAATTCTGCAACAATAAAGGCCTGTGCTACTCAGTCTGTGCCTTGCCTGCTTGCAGCACCAAGCCCCACCATGAATTACAGGTGACTTGTGCTGGGCATAGATGGAAGTCCAGTGTAAGTGCCTTTGTCTTGCAGGTGTTTGCAAAAGGACTGGAAGGAGCATAAGCACAAGAAACCTCGAGAGAAAAGGGTTGGGGAAAAGGGAAAGGGAAAAGGGTTACAGGCGGCGGTGCGAGCTCCATGAGGAGGAGACGGCCGCAAATTGAAACTTCTTTAGACAAAAGGATCTTCCTCCAAAAAGAGCTAACCTCATCTGAAGAAAATGCTTCCTCTGTCTATGATTTTAGTTTAGTTTGAGCAGCTTCAATGCTTTGTTTTAATATGAGACTTTCAGAGCACTCCAATAGCATGGAAGCAAAACATCCCTGGTGACACAGGCAAAATGAATGCTCTTTATTTGCTTAGTTTGGTGATTTTTTTAACATAGGCAGCCTCACTAGCTATAAGCTGTAATGCTGTGCTGTCCATCCTTATAGAAACACTATGTCTTGATGGTTCTAGGCTAAACTGCTTGTCTTTGTTCTTCTCTTCTAGACTGAGAAGCAGCAGAATTTCCACCCAACTGAACCTCTGTTGCAGGCTTTGCTTAGTAACAGTATCAATGTCGCCTTGAGCAACATGAGCGTGTGGATTACTAGACATGCAAATGGAGAATTTAAGTGCCACCTTAGTTCCCTATCTCCTCTACTGCCTTGAACCTCATTCTGAAGCATCTGTCACTGGCTAGTGGCTAGGACAGGTCAGATTAAACTTGGTTTCACTGAGCTTGACAGTGCCCATAAATGGGAAGCCTTTCTGTTGCAAATTGGTTAGATATATGCTCATAACTCAACTTGGAAAATCCCCCTTGAATGATTTCTCCCTCTTCCTGCTGCTTTTCTTCCCCATTTCACTTTTGCCTGTAACACCCGGAGCCGAAGTGATGGAGCACATATCTCTTCMCTGGTCACATGGCACGTGGTGTCGGTAGCAACTTATGAACATGCTGGATTTAGCACCGCTGCAAGAGGAGCAGCGAGGTGGTTCTGGGTGCCCGCGATGTCTGGGAGAACCGTCAGCCCTTCCTCAGTGCTGACTGTTTCTGTCGGCTGCTCAACTGCAGCACTTGGCTGATGCTTGTCCGTGCTGAGAAAAGCACATGCTTGAACTGTGCAACCTGCTCCAGCTGCCCAGGGACAGAGGATTGGCCACCAATCTGCTAAATAGGGATTTAACCAGGAGGCAGCCTAGAGCGCCAGCCCTCTCCTAATACTCTCTTAAGGAGCCTAGCAGCAAAGGCAGCTGCTGCCTCCTCCCTGGCCTTTCAGCAGGATCCTCCTTCCTGCAGCAAGGAATTTCCAACCAGAACTACTTTTCCTTCTCTTCTTGCTACATTGCCTTTTAATTAGGAGCACTGCTCTGGAAACATGGAGCTCACTTTTCAAAGAGTGCTCTGGAAAGTGATTACAGCGAATTAAAGTGGAAAGGTYAGGCAATTTATTTATCTGGCACTTAGCAAATGTTTTGGAATATTTTGTGGTGCAGGGATAGTATAAGAAAATAAAAGCAAAACCAACCCTACCATCCCTTCCGCTCTTGCTGGCCCTGGGGCAGTCTGCTGCCCAAGTTGTCTGTTGGATCCGAAATGCTGTTTGGGAGTTAAGCTATGCAGAAGACACTGAAGACACTGGACTGTCCGTCTTGGGCACCTGCTGAAAAATCTTCAGCTGGTAGAAAACTGGCAGAGCTCCCTTCTTGAAAAGGTTTTGATTTGCAGCAGCCAGAAGCCAACCTGTCGAGCTGGTGAAGTCGCGAGCCACTGTCAGTAGCTCTGGCGACACTTGTGCTGAGAAAGTTTTGAGAGATTTTGCTGAGATGTGGGAACTCTCTTGTGCCTAAGAGCTGGGTGGACCCTCTTCCTCCCTCTTGTCTTCCTCCCAAGGTCCCTCCCAAGACTCCCTCCCAAGTCTCCCAACTTGGGTGGCTTAAGCACTTAAAGCAATGGGAAGGTTGAAGCCCCTAGAAATTGTCCCCTTCATTTCAGCTCTGAGGCTCTGCTTGAAGGTCTCAGTCCCTTTCTTCTCCAAGAGAAAACAGTCCCTGGTTGCACAGTGTAAGACAAACATCCAGCTGACAGTGTCTAAGTCTGTAAAACATCTTGGGATGGGCAAATTCCACCACAGGCAGCTTTGAGTCTTATGACTCGGCTGACATTGAGGTTTGGGAGGTGGTGAGTGACTACATATGAGCCCAGGGAGACGGACCAGGGCTCGGGAGGTGAAGCCCACAGAAGCTTGTTGGTGCTGACTGGCCACCTGGGGGCTGTTTCTGCAACCAGCTTGGTGCTGGTGCTGRGGTGACCTGACGGCACTGCTTGTCTGTGGGGCACTGCGGTGCGTCTTCTCCTAGGATAAAAACAAGTTTGAGTCACTCAGACACTGCACTTTAGTACTTTAAACAGAGAAGTCCTTGAGGCAAGTTCCTAGGCATTAAAATAATGTTTGAGAGCAATTCAAAGACATGCTCTACCTTGTTTTGAATTCTCTTTATTTTGTTTGATTGTGGGTGCATTTTTCTTTTTTCACTCACTTTTCTGTAATATATGGTCCCTTTYTTTTCCAGTTATGTTGACGGTTCCATCTGCTTATTTATCACCCACAGTTAGAACCTGAATTTCAATTAGCAATCTGCTTTGTTTGGTTTTCTTTTAAATAAGGCTTTGAAAACTCCAACAGAGCTTAAATGCATAAAGCTACTTGTAATGCAGCTGTTAAGGCTTTTTCATCATATCCATGAATGAAATGAATTCTACTGCTATCAAGTGCATCTGATAAAATAGGTTTAATCCTCCACTATTGCTGTGGATAGAATGCGCTCCAGCAAAGACGCAAAGGTTTTAAATGGCTGAGACAGCAAATTGTCTTTGATCGGTGCTCCAGAGACATTAAAAGAACTTAAAAGAACTTAAAAACTCAAGTAGTAAAAGCTACTTCATGTAGCAACTGGAAAAATCTCTAGATTTATGCACTGGCTTCTAATGTTGAAGCACTTTGGGAGGTGAAGCTGCAAGAAGTGGGTGTTTGGGGTGAGGTTGTCGCTCAGCAGCATGTTGCAGTGATTAGGGTGGGAGAGCTCAGCTCCGTGCACGTAGCGGGATCCCCCCTTGCTCATGATGGGGCGACAGTGATGGTCTCCATGACCTTCTCCTTTCAGCTCTTCTTGTGTTGCAGCAGTTGGGTGGTACCAGCTGAGGGGAGAAGACCCAGTGCCCCAAAAGGTCACAGCCCACAGTGGAGCTGGAAGAAGGAGAAAAAAGGTGGTGAGGAAGCCTSTCTCAGCTTTGACTCTGCTGTGGGTCGCTCTACAAGCCGTGGGTGAGTTACTGGGGTCATCACAACTCTGTGACAATCTGTGTCTGGCACCCAGGGCAGTGGAAAAATGGTGACATGGGTCAAATAACCAAGGAGCTGGGCCAGGCCACGCATCCTTGGGAAGCTCTTCCTGAGGGTTAACCGATTCCTCCCCACTCAGGGCCAAGCGCTTATGTGCAGCCTCCCCATGGGGCGTAACGAGGAGCACCTATGGCTGCGTAAAAAGCAGCTCGTTCTGCGCCCGAGTAGAAGCTGAGGGGCTGCTGGGGCTGCCGTCACCGCCTGCCCTCGCGCTGCTGTCCCGCGCCCCACGGCTGCGAGGGAGGAGCCGCTGTGCAAGCTCCGTTCCTGCTCCACTCCTGCGCTGAGCTGCGCGCGGGCCTCAGCCCACAGGCAAGGCGCAGGCACAGGGCGGAGCCCGCGGCGACCGTTAGCCCTAACGGTCGCCGCCGGGGGCGGGGCCCAGCAGGGGGCGGGGCCGGGGGCGGGGCCACACTGTATAACGCGTCTCCTGGCAACGGTGGCTACGTCACTTCCTGGGCAGCGCGCGGCTGGGGCGCGGGGCGCGCGAGGCGCTGTCCGCGGCGGTCCCGGTCCCGGTCCCGGTCCCGGTCCCGGTCCCGGTCCCGGTCGGAGGATGAGCGCGGACCTGGACGGCGTCTCGCTGCGCTCCTCGTCCTCGTCGTCGGGCTCGCTGGGCTCGGCGGCGGGGCCGGCGCCGCGGCCGCTCTCGGCCAACGTGCGGCGGCTGCACCAGGCGCTCACGGCGCTGCTGAGCGAGGCGGAGCGCGAGCGCTTCCTGCTCTGCCTCAACGCSTACCACGGCCGCCGCAACGTGTGCGACCTGGTGCGCTCCCTGCGCGCGCTGCTCGACGGCCCGCGCCGGCGGCAGCTGCTGCCGCTGCTGCGCCTCGTGCTGCCGCGCTCCGACCAGCTCCTCTTCGACCAGTACACGGCCGAGGGGCTCTACGTGGCGCCGCTGGCCCCCGCCGCCGGCCCGGGCGAGCTGCGCCAGGTGACGCTGCGGCGGAACAAGGCGCACGAGGGCCTGGGCTTCAGCATCCGTGGCGGCGCCGAGCATGGCGTGGGCATCTACGTGTCCCTCGTGGAACCTGGCTCGCTGGCCGAGCGTGAGGGGCTGCGTGTTGGTGACCACATCCTGGGCGTCAATGGCAAGAGCCTCGACAGAGTGACCCACGCCGAGGCCGTCAAGGTGAGCAGCACCCGCGGCCTGGCCGGCCTCGTCCACGAGCTTTGAGCGCTGCCTGCCTCTCCCGGGGCTCGATCTCCCCTAGTCCGGATGTGTCCACCCTGTCCTGCCCCTTCACCCTCCTCCTGCTCTGTGAAGCCCTTTTTTGCCCCGTCCCCTCGTTCCACCCTCGGCTTTGTCCCGAGGGCAGGGAGCTGCAGGACTCCTGCTGTTTCCCCCCCTCCCTGCTTGGGGCACCCCCAGGGGTGCCCTCGTGTCATGCTGGACACATGGGGCATTGGGCTCTTCGAACATGAGCTGGGAAGTTTCAGTGACATTGATAAGGGCTCCTGCTAATGGCACAGGCACGGTGAGGTCTGCGTCTGGTGTTGCGTGGTAGATTTGTCCCTTCAGAGCCAAGTAATTTTTTTCTTCCCTCACTCCATCTCTGAAATGTGGCAGCGCGTTTATTTTCCTCTTGCAGCATTTCTCTGAAATGCAGCTGTGCTGCTTGTGCTGTCTTTTCCGTCCAAGAGACTTACAGAAGTTGGAAGTCTGTCCGATGCTGGCTGCAAGGGCTGCYTTTCCCTGAGCCCCAGAGGCTGCCGCTCTGCCCTGCGGCGCGGAGCCGCCGAGCAGCCTGCGCTGCCAGCAGTGCCGGAGCGGGGACAGAGCCTGGCACCCTTCGGAGAGGGTCGGAGAGCAGTGAAGTGCCCCGGCTCCMTCTTAGTGTTCACAGGCACCGTGTTTCCAAGTGCCTCAGAAATAGGCTGTAGTAAATAACGATGGGGCTGATATCCACAGAGGCTTTYGTGAAAGGGCGAAGCTCCAAACGGAGCCGTCATTAAGCCGGAGCTCGCTGGTCTGTGGCTAAACCCGTGTTTGAGACCCCGAATGCTTTGCTGCTGGCGCAGGGAAGCAGCTTCCTGTTGAATTGCCAGGCTCAGCTCGGAGCCGTCTCCTGGCACAGCCGGCTGYCTTCATCTGCAGCGCGCAGAGAAGCGCCCTTTGGGGTGGCACGGCTCTCACGCAGGTGTTTGGGCTTTAATTGTGCTGGAATAAGCAACAGCACTTCTGTTTTCAGCCCCCTTCCTGCAGAGCCTTCCACCAGGAGCTCATCAGTCTTGGCGGCTCTAAACAGTGCCTTACATGTTCCCTGCCCAGTCTTTAAATGTATTCCTCAGGCAATGGCTTATCCTCCAGGCTGAAAACCAGTCCTGAGTAATTTTGAGACCAAAGGAAAAATTTACAGAATTTGTTTCCTTTGCTGCATTTTTGTTCTTATTGATGGAACAAACAAGAGTGCAAGTTTTGGAAGTTGGCTTGTGAATGTTTTTGTGYCCTAAAGGTTCCCAGAACAGCATTTGTTCTGCTGCTTTGGGATGGGTAGAAACCAGGTGTCACGAATGCTCCATTCTGCTAATGACTCTGTCACTGACTCAAAGTGCTCTGCTGGGTAATTCACATAACTGTTTTGATCTCTAAYACAATGTATGTGATGTCTTGTGGACTCTTGTGTAAAGCTACAGTACTTCCTGTAGAAAAATGATTCCTGGAGGATGGCGTTTGCTAAGGGGCTGTTCTGCAGCAGGAGCTGTATTTTGCTGCTGTGATCTTGATGTGAAAGGGAGGCTTGGGCATCTTCTGCTTGTGAGCTGAGCTGCTTTAAACAGCAGTTTTGTCTGGCACCTGGCTGTAYGTCTTCTAGAACTCTTGTGTTCTCTTGCTTCTAGAAGGAGTTTTGTGACCCACCCAGTGGTGGAAGGAAGCACCTAAGCAAAACCTGATGATGTCTGTGAATCTCTTTAGTACATCACCTCTTTTTCTTAAACTTGCATCAGAGCTGGGGTCGTTTGTAGGAATTTGTGCACACACTAGTCGGGAACAAATACAGAGTGATCTTTTTTTCTTCCTCRGAAGGTTAAGGTTGTTGCTTGCAAAGGGTGAGCAGGGAGGGGCTTTCTCGCCACAAACCCATGACTCTATGGCCAGATGTCCCTGAGCGCTGTCTGCCCATGTTGGYAGCTCTGGTGGCTGCAGTGACTCCTGCTCCTGTGTGTGTGCAGCGCCAGGCTGCTCTCCAGCTTTGAAGAGCCCGATTTCCACTCTGGACTTCCATCTCAAGTGTCCTGCAGCAAAACACAGTCCTTCTGTGACAACCTCTCTCTGTGACAGAATATGCTAAGTGTGTTGCAGGGAGAGATGTTGTCAGAATGTGTTTTTCATGGCGTAAAATGACTGCAAAGGTCGGCAAGTCTCTTTGAGTCCTGCCAGGGCTGTCCTGCTGCAAAGCGTGTTCCTCTCGGAGCATGACAGAAGTTAGTTATTGAGCAGGAAATCAACTTCCTATTTGTCTGGGTGCCCTGAGATGTTGAGCTAGGAATTAGATGAGGCTGTTTCCCAAACAGAGCAGTGAATAAACATGTAGTCTTAACCTGTTTGTGAAATCTCTTAACTCTGAAGCCGGTTGCTGCATCTCTCTTACAAATCCTAACTCGGTTGCTTTCTTTCTGCCTGTGCGTGGTGTGCGGCTTTTCTCCAGAAATTAATCCTAAGAGGAAAGCAGGACCCTYGTAAGTAAGAGGCAATTTGTCTCCTATTTCCGAGCATCATTGTGAGCTTTAATGCAGCGAACAGCCCAGTGAAGCTGCTGCTGTGCCAGACGAAGAAGGCACAAGTAATGAGTTGCACACTTTCTCCTCAAAATTTATTTGTGCCCTGTGACCAGTGCAATGGGACCTGTAGATACTTTAGTGTAAATTAGATAAAAGGTGGAATTCTGAATTAACTGATGAGGTTACCTAAGCACTCCGAATCAATTCACTTAATGACCAGCTTCTTAACCTTTATGTGAGCAGTGGAATTTCACGCTTTGTCTGCTTCATGTTCTCTGTGTTTCATCCAAATCAAAATTAAATGACTTCATTACAATTACAGCTCGATCATTCTAGCATTCAAGAGTGCAATTTAGCAAAAGATCATTGTAATTTAAATTATGGTTTAAGTGAAGAMGCTTGTATTGTCTATCACACTTTTAGAACTCACTTGACTTTCATCAGTCTCTCTACAGGTTTGTTACTATAGCAGTAGTGCTGATGCATCGATAAGCTATATCGCAGAGATATGTTTCTCCTCTGATGCTTGTTTTTAATATCCATCGTCTTTCCCCCACCTCGCCCCTCAATTTTGCTGCTTCCTGGTAGGTTTTTGTGCCCTTTAAATTGTTTGAGGAGAGGAAGGACAGGGAGAGARGTGAGTGTGATGACTGATGGATCAGACCTGATCTATAACAAATGAGGATTTGGCTTAATGATTTACACCCAGCCTTAGAAGAGCTGGGCTGCTGTCATCAGACCCTTTGGCTGCCACATCTTTCTTTTCAAGCAGGTGAATCCAAAATAAATTCATCACCATCATCGGAACTGCTGACTTGTGTGCATTTGTCTCTGTGCCATTGTTGTGGCCGCCTTGGTGCGGGTCTGTGGTAACCTTGGCAGAGTCGATGGCCTCGCGTCGCATCCGTTCTGAAGGAACGGGSGTAGTTTTTAATTAGCAGATGCTGTTCCTGCCCCCTTCGAGGGGCTCTGAGGAGGCTCGTCTGCGCTGCAATGGGCTGAGCGCTGCAGCCGGCATCGGCTCTGCTCGCGCTGCTTTGCTGCTACAGCTGGAGGTTTTTACTTGCTCCAGACCTGCCTCTCCCGCTCTGACAGTGTCAAACAGGCATTAAAGCAATAATAACGCAATCTCTGTTTAATTATTTGAATGTTCTGTTCATCTGGAGKCTCCTGACAGCAAACAAAGTGATCTCTTAAGTGACTGCATTATTTTTGATGAGGGAGAAAGGTTTCAAGCTGCTTGTACTCTGGGCTCTTGTGATATTGCTAAGAGACCACTGCGAAATAACAGAAGAGACGTAAGAGACATAAGAGGCGCTCCGAGCCTTGGCAGCGTGTTTAGAACAACGCTACCTTCCAGGCAGCTTGCAGGAAAGCAAGCCTCGTTACAGTATTTCTTCTCGTTGCCCAATTAATTGATTATCCTTATCTGAGATTGCAGGTTTGCCACGATTGCTAAGCACCGTAGTGTGTGTGCGCTTAGAACAGTAGAAGCGAATGAAGCGAATGCAGCCTGGTGAGGTGTGTGGTTTTTTGTTCGTTTGTTTTTGGTTTTGTTTGTTTTTGTTTGTTTTTTTTAACTCTCCAAGCACTTGAGGTGAGGACRGTCACATGTAGTCATGGTTAGAATGAAGGAGAGTGAAACTGAGATATGGGTCTCCTGCTGTCTCAAAAGCCGTCAGATAAAATGCCTGTTTGCTTATCTCTKTATTTTAGAAGTCACTGACTAATCCAGAGCCTCGGAGTGTCCTCCCTTCCCTGGGCCTGCGGGGTGACGTGGGAAGTGTGATGGCTCCTGGATCTCCCTCTAGGAAAGGGGCACCACGCCGCGCTYGCTCGGGGAGGTATCTGCATTTTAAATTAGCTTTAATGATGCTTGGAGGGAAGGGTTCTCCGTGGTGGCAGGACATAGATCCGGCYAGTGATGTGCTTGGTTTCAGGGGCAGATCCGATGTCGCGGTCCCTTTGGGCCAGGCACGAGTGGTGATCCTAACCTGATCCTGAGGGCCAGGCTGCTGGRCTACCAGCGATGCTTAGTGGCCACGGGGAGCTAAGCTGAGCTGCTCAAATTGAAGTAATCCGTAACTTGGGCAGTGGGGTGAACCTGCACGTGCAGGAGATGTCGCCCAGGTCCCGGGGAGAGGAGGGTCTTGCTGGGGCACTGGAGTAGGAGCAGGCTGTATTTGCTGCTCTGCCGCTAATGTCCCACACAGCAGCAGGCAAGTTACCTTTTCATCTGTTTTCCTTCATTATGTCACCAAATCACTAAATCAAATGACGTTATACTGATGTGAAGGGTTAAAATAAGGTCTTTAATCTCTGCTTGCCCCACATTGTAATGCAGGAGGGACAATRCTGTTGTTATCATTCTCTCTTTGTCATCTCTGTTGAAACCGAATCCTTCAAAGT